CAGCAATAAATGCCTCCGTGTTTAACCAGATGGCCTGTAAATGAAACCCTACAGTACAGAATGATCTCACACATTCTTTTCTCACAGCTGTAATACAGCCTTAATGGCCTGCTTTTGTTGAAAATTAACTATAACAGCCTCTAAAGATTTCCAGCTTTTATTATATTTTTTTCCCCAGAGTAGCCCTTAAGTTCATTTAATAGAACAGATATCGGGTCATGAATGTACCTTTGTGTTTGGCAGAAGGTAAGAGTATGAAACCAGAGCCAGGAGAGGTGACTTCACCTCCACACCCAAGCAACAAGAAGGACGACAGCTTGAAGAGGGAGAGGGACAACCAGGATATGAATGACTCTGATGAAGAAGAGGAGGACGAGGAAGAGGAGGGAGACCTGCTGGAGGAAGAGGAGGTGAGGTTTGAAAATGGTATTCAGAGGGAAAAGAATAAATGAATATGGTTTTTTTGGGGGGGGGGATTTTTTTATTCAAATTCAAATTTCAAATCCAGCACTGGACAGACCTGCCATGTGCATCGTGTGGTGTCAAATATCAGACACGTTTGGGATGGGTGAGGGTGGGTGAGTGCGTATCTGTGTCAGTGTACATGCGTGTGTGTATCCGGTGTCCTTTCAACCAGTTAAGCGAAAGTCAGCAGTCCGCAGCCTACGCAGGTGGCCTTGGAAGGATATGTGCGCAGAGACCCACAACAGTCTGATTATCAGGGAGAAGATTTTGTTGTTTTCAGCCAGCCGGCCTGATGGGCCTTCTAGCGACATGGGAAGCCAGATAAGAGAAATGATGTTTTGGTTTAGTGCGAACGAGCTGCCTCCAATGCTACAGCCGGTCTAAATGTCCTTCACTGGTCACCAGGTCTGTCAATTTCCCGCTAAGCTTCCCCAAGATCTTATCCATGTGGCGTTCAATAACAACAGTCTGAGTACTCACAGCCCATCCCATCGCTTCGATCATAGCAGCCAGCCTTGTGGGGTTTTGAACAGCTCTAACCGCTTTCTTCAGTCTTCGATAAGCCAGGGTGTTACGTTTTACTTTATTGACCAACGCCTCAGTTTTGTTTGTTTTCTTAAATGGTGATAGCGGCTTGTTCGTCTCTTTTAGTTGAGCTACTTTAATAAAACTCTTTAATTTAACCCTCATGCCTTCTTGTCTCCTTTTTCTGACCCGGACACTTTTTGTTACTTCCCCCTCACCGCCTAGACCCCTCAGGGGAACGTAACACAGGGCCAAGCCAGCTCCGATTGGCAAGAACCCTGTTAGTATGGTGCCGAATAGGTAGAAATCTTCTATGTCCTCAATCGACAGTCCCGGGAATCCCAGGCACACGACGCGCCACTTCTACCACCCATCCAGCGTGTATCCAGCAGGTCCCTCCAGGAAATTCGGGCTCTCCTTAACCCAGGCTTGCGTTCAGGGGCCAGTGGATCAAATCTATATTCTTTAGGTTTTAGAGAACAAGACTGAGAGACTCTCTGGGATAAAGTTAGACAAGATTACACAAGGGCATAAGAAGCCAAGCAGGAAGAGATGCGTCTGCCTCCGACAGAGCCGACAGCAAATTTTATTTGTATTTTATTTGTAAGATAAAGAACTTCATGTTTCAGATTTTCTCAAACTGCTGACATGTGAAGTCATTTTCTGAGAAATTTTATGGCATCGGGTTTTATTCGTTCATTCCTTATAACCTTAAAACTGGAATTCATGTGATTTAAATCCGCTAAGCTACAGTGAGTGCTCACTTGATCCAACTCAAGTCTGTCCCCTTCGCCCTCCGAGTTAATGGTTCCATGTGCCACCATGCCTAAGTATCTCTCAAATGGAAGCTTAGAAAAAAAAAATACCAAGTTTTAAATCTCTCTTAATAGTCTAAGGAGCTTGGAAAGAAAAGTGACTGGACTTCTTTAAGTTGATTGAAGACATTTTGCCTCTCATCCGAGAAGCGTCTTCAGTTCTAGGGACAAATAGTGGAGAGCCCCAGATCCACCATTCAACCCTAGAACTGAAGACGCTTCTCGGATGAGAGGCAAAATGTCTTCAAGCAACTTAAAGAAGTCCAGTCACTTTTCTTTCCAAGCTCCTTAGACTACAATGACCTGGATGACTGAGAACCTTCAGACTCTCTCAATATTCTCCACCAGAAACATCAGCAGTTAGCGACTGCTACGATATATACTGCTCTTAAAAAGAAATATTAAGAAAATGTCAATCATTTATTATATTGTGCCTACTGTTTCAGTTTCAGCCAGAAGTTTTCAACATTTCTAAAATGATCCCGATCAATAAGATTTTTCTTCATGTTCTCACTACGAGTTATAACAAAAATAGTAATTTATGAAGCAACTGTCACCTAGTGCCACATACAAAAGTTGCGTAAATGTGTGTGGATGTTTTTGTTCCATATCTTACACAAAAGTGCCTTTTCCTGTTTAGAAATCTGCACAAAAGGTTGCTCTGACTGAAATACAACTATTAGCTTACCTCCGACTTTTATTGCTGTCCTTGTTAAAACCCATGCAATCTAAATCTGGTGTCTAGACTGAACAGAAAAGCGATGAGATTTTTCGTCAGGTGCATCTTTGCAGCATTGATGCCACCTGTCATTGTGCTAATTTTAGTATAGTTTCCATGTTTTTTCCAAGGATAGCTGCGTAGTCCACCCTAACTTGTGAGGCACACCCAGTGATTTTCCATTATCGGTCTGAAATGAGATAGAAACAACTCAGTTCAGAAGTGCATCGAGGGTTACTCCTAGTAGGTCTTCAGGGGGTTTAATAGGGTTGCACAGTTATTCGATTTAAAATTTTAAATGTGAAGCTATGTAACTGGCAATTCATAAAAAGCTGTAGTTAGTCTACACTGTGCACAAAATGTCTCAGGTTTGAGACATTGATTTTCTAAATCTTTGCCTGCTTTCTTGTGCTTTTCATCAATTAGAAGCGACCCAGTAACTACACACACTTAGATTAGTGTTTGATTAATGTGGTTACAGTTAGTTTCTATGTGCATCCCTTCATGTCACGTGGCAGTGCAGTGATATAAATTATTACACTCCCGAGTTCACTAAAAGCCAATCAAATTGGAATTTCTGTCAGGAAAAATCAGTGGCAGCCCTTAACAAAACAGACACTGCTATACAGTTGTTTTAAATGGGGGAACTATTCAGGCGCCCAAACTAGTTTTTGTACTGTGTTGTACTTGTAGGAGGCCACAGTCATGTGACTTTCAGAGGAACTGTTTAGAGGAACCACTTGTGCATTTGCTTCCCTCTCAGTCCCAGACGTTGCTTGATGATGCTTTGTCACTAGTGTTAATTTCTGCTTACAGTGTTTTTATGCTTTCTTGATGTGCTAATTTCAACCTCACCTGCTGCTTTAATTACTACCCCGTTAGATCAACAAAACAATGCAGTAGATAAACTTCATGATTTTTTTTTTCAGATTTATTTAAATTAGTTATACGACTTATTTTTTTCATCACTTATTAAATTGTCTGCAGGTGAAAAGTCAAGAGAGGGAGGAGGAGGAGGAAGAGGAAGAGGAGGAAGGCGAGCACGTGGAAGCAGACGATGATGGTGACAGCGTGAATGGAGACGAAGACTCATAGGCACAGATGACAGCCCCGCATGCGGTGTAGTCGCAGCTTCCAGAAGGACATCGGACTCCTATTTTAACTCTAATATTGTAGATATAGGAAAAAAAACCAACACGTACACACACGCACATAAACACACACATAAGCATGGTGCACACACTCTGTCATAATGTCCCTAAAGGAGATTTTTGTTTGCGTATCTTGCCCGTCATCCGGTACCCCCTATTTACAGGAACTAGTTGTAGGTTTGGGTTTGTTTTTTTTTTTTTACAGCGTCGTTACTTGTCTTCAAGAGAAGGCACGAGTGTGGACTGGTGATGTTCTCAGAGACGACAGCTCGACGGACATGTCTTAATGTGAGGGCGAAAATTTCTGTTTAAAAAAGAAAAGTTTTTAGCTTCAGTGTGTTTGTTTTTCTCATCAGTGAATTAGTTTGGCCTTGTCTGTCTGTATGTTACTGTCAGTTTTTATACTATTCAGTTAAACTGTAAAGGAATAAATTGCAATAAAATATTGAATTTGCTTTTGTGTTTTGTTTGGCTCGACATGGATCTTTTGTATCGACACTACAGAGATGTTCCTTATCTGGCTTCACTTAATTCAGATGTCATGAATCCCATTTACATGGTTATCACTTCAGTAAGTAACCCAGGGTTTCCTGGTGTAGTCAGAAGCATTTTCAGCATAATTTCAAAGGGAAAAGGGAACTAAAGTAGAAAAACAGGAAGTTGAAAACCACAGTTAAAGCATCAGTGTGAGTGTGGGGGATTGGAAAAAGGTTATACAGTTTTTTAGCTCTCTGAATGCACAATAAGTTGAAGCAGGCATGCTGCAGAAGAATAAATCGGGTGCAACTCCTGGAAACTGAGGCTATGATTAAAAACTGATTCAAGAAAACTGGACAACATTGCCAGTTTTGGTTTGGGCTGCTACATTCTGACTAAAGGGTCAGAATGTGATTATTCCGGCAGGATAATGTGTGTAACAAAGAAACCAGATGAGATCAAGTGTTTAAGTTCACAGTATTCAAATGTTTCCAGTGTGATACTCAATTTGTGCCACAAAGACTTGGAGCAAGCCCTCAAGCAAAAGTAGTTCCAATGAAATACAACACAAGGTGTGCCTATTAAATTGTGCAGTGAACATCTGTTACTGTGACACGTAGCACAACCGCTGCTTTGTTCTAGTCGACTAAGGTATTTTATGGTTTCTGTCAGATGACCATAAGTATTTAAATGTGCAAATTTAAAATCAAATGAAGTTGCCATGATGTCATAAGCAGTGCGCCACTCTCGTCATGGATCGTGGTTACCGAAGTGACTTCAGCAAAGGATGCAATGGCAAAACTGGTGTCTCAAGATGCATTTTAGGGAATTTGGACACAACACTTAAAGTGCATTTGTATTTGATTGTTTATTTATATCTTACAGCTTATTTAAGGCACTACAGATATAAATTAGCTAGCAGCTACAGGTTGCACAAATCATCTTTTCTCTTATGAGATCAGTGTGCTATGCAGTTATATCATCATGCTGTATATCATGAATGCACTGAGATTCCCACCAACAATCATAAACAGCTGTTAGTCAGCTTGTGCAGAATGTTACTTGTATGCACTGAACATACAAGTAACAAAATAGGGATGTACCCGATGTTTCTCACAGCTAAAACAGGGCGGTGAGAGGGAAACGAGATGACATTCCAGTGATCAGTTTTGAGAGATTCAGTACCGTGTGTCTCTCGATTTAACCAGATGAGGTTCATTTAGACATCAGTCACACCCTCATCACCACCAGGAAAGGGTGTCACACTGTATCTTAGGGGATAGGATTTGTTGATTTCACTGTACTGTGTCCAGAGATGCAGCTCATGAGATAAGACCATAGTTTAACTTTATTATAATTAGCTTCAGTTTCAGTAAGTTTATCTTTTAAAAGATAATCTACAATCAGTACATATATCTGTTAAACAAAACCATCTTGCCATTTGTCTAAGTATGCTTACTTGTAGGTGTGTGTATGTAAGTCACATGCATGAATATAAAATATATATATATATATATTTGGTGACTAAATCCACACAATTACTTTGAAACTGAACAACATAACATCTTCAAATTCAATAGATACAAAAAGTGCAAAGGAAACATAAAACATTTCACTATTAGTTCAGTAAACACGTCGTAAATAGCTTGACACTCAGATTTTCTGGTTTTGCAAACCAGTCATCTTCACCGGTCACGTTCTTCCTCTCTGCACTCTTTCAGGCTGTCTTCAGGACGAACAGCATGAGGACAGTTAGCAGGAGTGTCAAAGCTGGCAGGGAGAAAAGACAAAAAAGCAATTATTCAGAAAACATCCATCAGGGTTTCTGCTGGTTAAAGTTAAGATATCTTTAATACCACATGGTGCAAAGTGTAATTATGCATCATAGTCATTGCTAAAGAAAAATTCAGCCAGGACAATATGGGCTAAAATGACATATTATCCCTGCTCTTTCTGTTGTATAGCAAATTTATTGTCATGCATTTGCTCCATTAAAAGGGCCAGAAGTCCAATAATGGCTCCAGCAGTTTCTAAATGTAGCTGATTTATACATAGTTGTCATTGTCCCCTTAATCTATGGTAAATTATACATTACTTACTTGGAAAACGATTTTTTTTTTTTCTTCACCACTATCTTTTACTTATAACTCTAAAATATTTCATAATAGAATTAACTAATTTATTAAACAATATACAGTAACTAAAGCTTCAGAGCTGGGTATTGTGAACTGTGAATCTTCATCACATTCAGCCCTAAATCTACAGTCTGAGAATAAAATGTCAGTGTGGTGTTTACCATGACTGTGAAGAGCGCCACTGGCTGAATTCTTTGTCGTAGAAGGTGGTGCGGTGGTTGTGGTGGCGTTTGTGGTGCCGTTTCCAACATTGGCGCTTGGGTTGGCGAGGTTCAGAGGATCGGTGGTTTTGCTAGCTGTGAAAGTCCCAAAATCGTCTGAAGAATAAAACATTGAAAATAGTGATGAGGATTCGATTTAACCTTCATTTACAGCTTCACAAATAATGTAGCATCTAACGTGTGTATTTATGTTGATAAGAGTAGACAACACGTTACAGTTGAAGGCTGCTTTCACTGGACTTACTTCCATTCAATGGTCCAGACCCAAGGATGACAACATAAGTGGTAGAATCAGCGCTCCTGGTGTTGGTGGCATTCGAATTGGGGACACAGAACTCACACTGGATCTTTCCATTGACTACCTGGCCTCGTATCTTTGTCACAGTCTGGTAAAAACAGTTTGACTTGAAGTTAAAAAGCACCATCAGGTAAATTATTACATTTTAAAAAACCCACTTTTCGTTGTGTTTTTTTTTAAGGCTTTGATGACTGAATTACAGAGTATGCATTAAATAATTTCTAGGTTAGCAGCTTTTAGGAATGTGTTCTGATCATCTGTCAACCGTTCAACTGTTTCAGCTTGTTTGGTAATGTTTATCTGTATACGTTTTAAAAGTAGTTACAGCCTCACCGAATTAAATGTAGAGAGTGCGTTGTTGATGTTGTTTCTCTGCCGAGCCGCGAAGAAGAATGAGGCATTGTTAGAGCTGTTCTGAGCACAGATGTAAAGCGCAGTGGTACCCTGAAAAAGAGCAAACAGTTTAAGGGTTATATGCTTCCTTAACTCACTCGTCTCACTTTTAACTCATTACTTTGGCCTGGACCAATAAAGACATAAACACATAAGCAGGTCTGTGTGAGCTTATAGAAACACAGATGTAATTGATTAACCTTGGTATAGTATTTCCCAGGTGCCTGATCCTTAACTTGGCCTTATCACTTGTACCTTAACAACAGTATTTACATTTAGTTTGGTGTGAAGGTTTCACATCCTGGTGTGAATATTTGACTAAGCAAGGTGGTGGCTTTCATTAAAATTAACTCTCTCGGTTGTCTCTGAAATGACCGAACGTTTGTTGGATTATTAAATCTATATTTAGAACATGATATACTTTAAAGATATTTACTAATGGAAACCAAAGCCCATTTCCAAACACAACCCTATTATTTGATGGGTTTTTTTTCATTATGTACCAACGTCAAATATTTCATTAATCCTCTGACAGTGAGTAAACATTTCCTGTCAGAGGATTAATGGCTAGGTAATGGAAAAGTAGTTGAATGAAGTTAATTAAAAAAAGAAATTGATAACATAGGAAATCAGTTATAATTATTGAAAAGTTGACGTGTAAATAAGTATAACTCTTCAGTAAATAATTGTTTTGGGTTAACATTTTGGTTTAAGTTAAACTTAATCACCGCTCTGGTTTTGTGTGCTGTGGTACCTGGGTTGCACTGGCGGTGAGCCCCAGTGCGATGTACCCAGTGGAGTTCCCACTGAGCTGGAACATCAGCTCGGTGCCGTTAGGAGCTGTAGTGTTGCCTGCAGCCACTGATCCAAAGAAACAGCTGCTGTTCCCAGCAGGGTCACAGTTGTCTGGGGTCTGTATGCACAGCTTACTCATCCCGCAACCTGTCCTTGTAATGTTTACCTAGTAGAGAGACACACGAGCATAATCCAAGTCACAAAACAGCTTAGCACCTTCAACTTCTGTGTCAACACTTTGACGAAGAATCGCATCCCAGCTCATGAACTGGGAACAGCTGCTATTAGTTAACATTAGGTTACTAAAGGCTTTATGGGAAATGAAACTCTACCTTAAAAGAATTAGAAATGTATAAATCACACAAATTCCATTAATTATATGATTTATAAACGCCACTGTTTAGCCATATTGACAGTTAGACTGTATGTAAAAGATGGCAGTAGCCACCACACCCATCTCGATTCTTGTCTCTCATGTTGAAGCCTCATTCTCATTTGCAACCGCCATTACACAATCCGTAACCTGCCCTTTTACTCTAAAGAAGATCTGACCTCATTATGTATTAAATTAGTCATAACTTAGCATCTGAGATCGTGAACTCAAAAGGAACACGCTTACTGAGTTCATCGATGGGAGACATTTTTCCATAGACTTTTATATAATTAGACTTCTTCACTTCTCCTCCTGCTGGCTATTATTATGGATAAATGCTCAAGGCACTCCCCCTACTTTTTAGACCCACTAGCATTTTTTCTTCTTCTCCCATGATAATAATAATTCTCAGAATGTATAAATATAAATAAAAGTTTCACCAAGCTAACCATGCGCTGTTCTATTTCACACTGTAGATGCTTAACTTAAAAAGACAAAATTAGCAGTAAATTCTGACACTATTTCGTACAGTAAAACTCATTTCAGCTCCTAAATATGTAAAAGTGTATGCTTAACAAATGCACTCCATCCGTGTAAATCACCATGGTCACAGTGGTATTGTGCTGGCAAAGTTAAATATAAACCAACCGTTGCATTAGTGGCAAATGAGAAACTGTCTGTTGCTTGGACCCCCGGGGCCACAAAAAGCATCACTGCGGCAATCAGCAGACTCAGGCCTCGCTCCATTCTTTCCAGGAAAGCAAACAGTGAGAGAGCAAATAAGAGAAGAGCAGATAAGAATGAGATTGCAGAATTTTTTTTAAAGAGGAAACTAAGCTCCTTTACATTCTACCTCAGTTTTATTATAACAACTTGTAAATTCGAAATTTGTGTGTAAAAAATGTAAGCACTTATAACAAAATGTTTTGTTCTAAAATACAGTTAAGTAAAAAGATTGTAAAAAAAAAAAAAAATGAATTGAAAAGAAAAAAATCATTTAAGGCACGTCCACAGGGCTGAAAACACATTTATACACAAATGTACTAAGTACAGTCAGTCCTTTAAAAGGTAATAAAACACATTATGGTTTATCTGGACTGGAATATTGACAGAATAATTATTCATTTAAAAACAGAGCATCGTTCCTTTTCTTTTCCAAGGTTTGTTTTTTCTTTGTGTAACTAAAAATCAATTGTCAGATTATCTAAATAGCATTTCTAGAATTCTCATAATTAACCTGATTATGCTTTAAAGGATAATGACAGCAAATGAAATAGAAGCAGGCATCCAGGAGAATCCAAATCTAAAATGTAATTAAATAAAGTTTGGAGAGACTTACTCGATGCTGTGAAGTTTAAATGCTGCGTTGAAGGGTTGTTTTCTGCTCTCTGTGGGATGATCCGCAGTTCTGGTGATGGAGCAATGTGGAAGTAGCTTTTTGTTAAATAAGGGGCAGGGCTTGATAAGAATACACCTGTGTACCTGCCTGGGTGTGGATTAGTTGTTTGCATTGCTAAAGCAGTTTCTGTAGAACAAGCCTTGCTGCTGACACGAAATAATGTCCTTGGTTTTTTCTTCTTTTATGATTTTCTGTTAGGAGTTGACTCACAAGGTGGTTCAGAGTTTACTGCTTATCACTAAATACACTGTGAAATAAAGAAAACACGCATGAGAAGATAGTTTGGCTGAGCTAAATTAAATATCAATAAAAGTCAAATATTAATTAATTAATCGCAATCATCGTATGACTGTTTGTATGATTGTTCTCACACTGGATTCTCCTTAAAATAACAATGTAATATAAATTGGGCTTAGATAAGCAACTTCATAAATATGTAAAACATCATTTTGCATTTCTTTTCTTAATGTATGGGTTTTCAAACAAAGCAGATTCAAAGTGGTTTTTACTGCCTGTAAAGTCAATGACACACAGCAAATACACGTAAACACAGAGAATGAACTTTATAGGGCTTTATTCTGAGAAGTGGAGATAAATTCAAGAAAGGAAACACAGTTTACAGGTATAACTGTTACAGTTATTACAACATGCAAGTCCAATATTGAGCATTTACTTGCACTGTAAAGGAACATTTCCCCAAAGAAAACAACAAGGAGTTAGAGACAGTGTCAAACACCCAGATTATTTGGTACCTTTATAAAGAATAGTGTCTGGACTTCTTCGCCAAATATTTAAAGACTTAAAGAAGTCCAGACGCTTTTCTTTGCAAGCTCCTTTGACTACAATGACCTGGATGACCTTCACAGACTTTATAAAGAATGTTGTGGTGAAACCACAGTTGCATCGTGATCTGAACTTCCTGTCAGGTTAGTTACATTTTTTGCATTTTTGTGTTCTTTATTTTTCAAGGAATTTCCTTTTCGTTTCTGGATGTGTTTGTGTGTCATTACGTCACATGGAGTGTAGCTCAGGAGGGAGGGGAGGCCATCTACTGATTGGAAGGTTGTTGTGATCCCTGAGTTTACATGCCAAATATCCTTGGACAAGAAACTAACCCCAAGTTGCTCTCTGATGCATCCATCGTGTGAATGTTAGGTAGCAAGCAAGCACTTACAAAGCATAGAAGAAAGTGAAGGTGGCATGTTGTAGAAAGTGCTTTGAGTGGTCTGGGAGAATAGCAAAGTGCTATATAAGAATGAGTCTGTTTACCATTAGGATGATGTCATCCTGCTTAGTGTGACTTTTAAAAGAAAGAGAATAATTAAAAAAGTCAATTTGACAAAAGTCCAAGATCTAGAATTACTACCAGGCCATATGATCTTACAAAGGACATCATTTCATATGAGCTTTCTTGCTTTTCTCGTCCTAGAGAAATTCCATTTTTACTACAGTTCATTGGTCTTCATATGATTTTGTCCATGTCACAAACTTTTCCCCTGTGAAAGACTTTGTGAGTTGGATTTTGAAAGGTTTCATAGACCAAATTTGATCATCATATAACATCCTGTTACCCTTAATTGGATAAGCAGCTAAGAAAATGGATAGCTGGTTAGATTTGAAAGTATTTTATTAATAGGCGCATTTAACTGCTGATATTATCCTGACTAATTTTGCTGAAATCACACTTTTAATACAAAAACCTTATATTTTGTGGTTCCTGAAACCATATTTAGAGGCTTGTGGGAGTGTCTCCTCTGAGAATCAGACCTGATCACATTTTGTGTATTGGCACCAAACCCTGCATGTGCTGCAAAGTAAAGAGTTACTTCCAGCCCCTTTACAAAAAATGAGAGGTGTCTTTGTCCCTTAACAATAACCATATGCATTCCTACATTTAAGGTCTTATTTCATAAGTTATTATTGTAAGAGAACGAGTGATTGTTTATCCTGAAACTAAATCTTAGAATGAAGCTTGTGTTATTTACCAAAAACAGCTTCTTTCTTCTTACCACTTCATCATTCTTACGGAGAATATAAACTATTTCCCACAC